CGGCTCAAGTTAACTACAGTTTGGCCTAGCGGTGGCCTCTCAGTATTTTTATCCCCAGTAATTAGTTTAAAGACTTACTCGATGCTTGAAGCTGGTGTATCCAAAACAAATAAATGCTGTTTGCTGTTTCTGGAGACCAATGAAGATTATCAACTGTTTCGAATTCTTCTTCGTAGGGTGGTAAGATTGTTGCGCTGTTGATACTGGACTCCATCATCATGTTGTTGAGGGTGCTGAGGTTCTGTTGTGCTTTCTTCGAGATTTTATTTGAAATGGGTATACATGTGAAGAGGATCTTGGAGTTTGGGAAGGTTTTGTTGGCTGTGGTGATTAATTTCTGGGCTTGGTTAAAGGAGGTCTTTGGTATCTGATCACGGTTGTTGAGGCCTACATGAAGAATAATGGTAGTAGGTTTGGGATCATGGTCGTATGATTCCAGGATTGACTGTATTGTGATGGATTTGGGCACCGGGGTAAGAATGTATTTCGGTGTCTGAACTGGTTTTGGTAATTCGGTTCAGGTTAGATGATCCAATTATTAAGGTTGATTTCTTTAGAGCAGGTAGTTTCCATAATGATTTGTCCTTGGTTTGGTGATAATACGGTTTGGTAGCGGATATAATGGTCGTCGACGGTGTGATTGGTACTGGTTTGGTAGTTGTTAGAATTGTAGCATTGGGAACGGACTGGGATCTGGTTCGAGGAGGGGAAGGTCTGGATACATGTCTCGACTTGGATGGAGACTGAGGGGTGGTTTGCTGGTCCAAAAACGCACAGAAGGAAGAAAGGTTGGCGGATCCTGGATCACGTGGTGAAGATTCAGATGGTGTGGAAGGGGAAGACGAGTCTGAAAGTGAAAAGAGAAGGGGTGTGCCCTCTCTACGAGAGCGTTTACCTATGTCTGCTGGACTAGGGGTAGGTGAACTTCGGGCTCGTTTAGGGGTTTGGTTCGGCAGCGTGGTAGCTCTAGATGGTGCAGGTGTAGTGTCCATTTCGGTTGGTAGAGATATGGTTACTCTGGTTTTTGTTTTGTTGATTGTTTGGTAGAATTTGGAAATTACAGCTTGAGTGAGACGTTTTCCATAGGAGCGACGGGCCCAGGACAGGGCATGAGAAACGATGCGGTCGACGGCAGGTGATGATAAAGACTTGGTACGAATGGTGGTCAGCTTCTCTTGGAGTGTGGTTTGGTAATGGTCGATCAGGACCTGCGTAACCTTACAGAGCCATGTCCGATTGAGGGATCTAATATTCGTGTCGACAGCTGATGTTTTCATTGCTGGACGGATAAAACTATCCAACTCAGAGACTTTGCGTTTGAAGGTAAACGCTGGTTGGCCTTGCTGTTGAAGGGTAAGGATTGCCAAATGATGGAGGCACTGCAAAACTTGGAAGAACACCTTCACAAAGGGTTCTTCCTCCTTATGAGTGGGGACTGGTTGGCGTCGGTGGGCTGGTAGTCGTTTTGACGACTTCGATTGTTTCGTTACGGTACGTCCATGATTCGGATGTTTTTAGCTTCCCCCCCGTTACGGAATACTACAATTTTAGTTTTTTGGGTGTTAACAACTAAAGCATTGTTATCACAGTATTTTACTAGGGTATTAATAGTTTCCTGTAGATCTTCCGGGGTTTCACTTAATAATACCGTATCATCGGCGTACATAATTAGGAACAAGTTAATATCATGTATTTGTAGAGATTTACAGTTACCTTTGATTAATTCAGATTCAATATCCAACACATAAAATGAATACAATATTGGAGATAAGGATTCCCCTTGCATCAACCCTTTTACACATGAAAAATAGTCCGAGAACGCTCCATTGTAGTTAACTCTAGATTTTAATTTAGAATACATGGATATAATAAGAGTTATAAAATTTCCAGTTATCCCTGATCGGATAAGTTTTTGCCATAATCGGACATGTTTGACGCTATCAAATGCAGCAGAAAAATCTAAAAAACATGCATAAAGTCTCTTGCGATTTTTAAGATACTTGAGGATGACATTATGCAAAGCAAATATTGCGTCCCTAGTTCCAAGCTTTTCACGAAAACCAAAAAATGAGTCGGGAAGGACTTTACACTTGTTATCAAAGTTAGCTAGTCTTCTATTCAGAGTCGAGGTGAAAAGCTTACCTAAATGACTTAACAATGTAATACCCCTATAATTTTAGCATCATTAGAATCCCCCTTCTTGTATAAGGGTATGATGTTCCCCATTGCCCACTGATCTGGGTAATCTCCCTTGATCAAAATGTTATTAAATATAATAGTAAGTAGTGGTATAAATAAACTTGAGTACTCTATAAAATACTCATTGATAAATTCGTCACATCCTGCTGCTTTATCACGTTTTAAATTTTTGATTGCATTTGATATTTCTTGTTCAGTTATTTCACTATTTAATTCATGAAAGTCATAACTTTCAGTAATATCTATTTGATGTGTTTCTGTGTCCGATTCAGTGCCAATTAAATTTTTGAAATGTTCACAAAAGTCATTCATGTTTAGATTTGTTTTTGGATGTTTACCACGTTTGCGGAATTTTTTATAAAATAGTTTTGGATTATGTCTCCTTGTATATTCAATGAGGTTACCTTCATAAGAGAGATATTCTCTTTTCAATCTTCGTTCTAACTTTTTGTACTTATTTTTAAATTCGGCCAATTTTATTCTATTAGTTCGATCCTTACACTTATTAAACTCCACTAAGCTTTTCTTATATAGTTGGTATGATTCTACACATTCATCTGTAAACCAAGGACGGTTTGTTACTTTCGTAATTTTAGTGTTTTCGCACGTTTCGCAATGTTTTTTGGTGGAAACTTTTCTTGAACAGTATTCGTCAAAAATTCATCGAAATCTTGCATTTAAATGTTCAATTACAACCGATGAAGATCTACCTTCATTTCAACACTGGAAAAATCGTCTGCTTCACAAGTGGATCCCATCTAACCTTCGTCACGTGATTAACAGTACAGTTACATGTTACTTTGTTTGTGGTTTGATTGAAGGGTAAATCTACCGTTAAAGGTGCATGATCGGAGTACTCATTAAAATTTTCCACGCAGAAATCTTTGAATATCGATTCACTGTCCTTGTCGAATTAACTCGAGTGTCATTTTGATGACGAAGATATTAAAAATATATTCAACTTTTAAAGATGTCTATTAACAATATCAGATATCAATGTTTTCAGTATAAATATGTTTATGATATTATATTTACTAACACAAAACTACTAAAAATATCTAAGAAGGAAAGCTCCTTACGTACGTTCTGCTCCTCTCATGTTGAAAGCCTTAATCATCTATTTATATTTTGTATTTACACCCAAAAAATTTGGAGTTTGGCTATATCTCATCTTAAAACTTTGAACATTGATTTTAACCCTAAAAACGCGGATATTCATCTAGGAGTATATAAAGACATTTTTAAAAATGAAAATACTGTGATAAATTTGACAATAATATTAACAAAATATTTTCTGTATAAATGTAAACTAAGAGAGACACAACCCAATTGTAACGAATATATTAATTTTTTGAAACATAGTATAGAAATTGAATGTAAAATAAATAAATTTTAGTTTATATAAAAGTATGTATTTCCTCACATATATTTATAAATATTGAATATTAGTAACATATTTCGTTTTAAAAAAATATCTTACTACTGATTACTTAGTATGCATATGTACACTTTTATTATTACTACTATTATTGTTTGTTTACAACTTATTATGTAATATTGTATGTGCTTATGTTGTAGATTTCATAAATAAACTATAAAAAAAAAAAACCAAAAAACCAAAAAAAAAAAACCATATCATTTGATTCTATAAATATTCGTTTTAACCATTTTTGATTAGATTCGAAACAAATACGATAATTCCACCATGTTTGCGTTTTTTTCTACATGTAATAAAAGTCTTATGCGGGGGCAAAAATGAATTTAAAAAAAAAAATGATGTCCCAGTTTGTCTGCAATTGTAGTACACGTAACACTTTAGTCCTCATTTGGTCGTCCTCAATTGTCATTCTAGGTATGAAAAACCTTAAATATGATTAGAAGGCCGTAAGGTACAATCGGAACAGCACATTAGTTAAAGGGTGTCTTATTATAGTTGCTATAATAGGTCTCTACCTGTATTATAAATTGGTGACCTCACATTGAGGTAAAAATACATAGACCTAATATAGTATTCTGTACAAGTCAGAACTTTCTAATTTCTTATCCGAATTTAATTAAACTTGCTAGGTATGTGTAAACTCCAGGCACTTTTGGATATTTGCATTTAGAGATGCAGAAAAGTATTTATATCAATGTAATTGCAATAGACCATCTTCGTATGTACCTGAAGGTCGTAACCCGCCCTGCATCAGTACTGTTATTAGAACAGTTGCAGGGCATTCGTAAGCGAACGCCCTGCTTTGTTTTCGAATTGATTTTTTTGTTTATTTTGTTTTCGCTCTGGCTATTTTTTTTTTCTTCACTCCGGGAGCTCAGTTCTCGGAAACAGCAACAGGTATGGAAAAACGGATTTCGCCACACTTTCTAGCTCGTGGCTAACTGCGTACTGAATGTAAAAAGAAAATTTTCTGAGCAACATGAAGCGACGTTAGCAACAAACAGAAAGTGGGCTCTAGTGGGCGTAATTATCGACCTATTTTGCTCGGGTTTCCTTTATTCTACTTCTTATAACAATGGACACATGGCAGTTGAAAAAAATTGATTTTCGCAAATTAGATCGATACTTTTTTTGTCGAAATTAATCGAAATATGCTATTTCGGTTGCTATTTGTCGGACAGATTTGAAACTTATACAGTGTAGACAGCCAGCATGGTGGAATAAAAAACGCATTCAAAATTTTTGCATCACTTCCGGTTTCGAAGTTCGTACTTCCGGTGACGTCACTTCCAGTGGAATTGAGTTATGCCCAAACTAACATATGCATGATATTAGTGTCATTAATACAAACCTATTAAACTAAAAAAATTCTTACGGAAGTAATAATAAGGCCGCCATTTTAGTTTGCCTCATTTTGCGAAAATTCCTATTCAGAAGCCATTTTTTATCCGATTTGTGTAATTTTTGTGTCAAACGATACTATAAATGTTTGTCTATAATTCGTGGGAAGCAAAATTTTGATTTTCGGTTTTGCCTTTTTTATACGAACGGCTGTTTTTTTTTCAAAGTTTGAAGGCGTATATCTCGTGACCTTGACCTTTGATGACCTTCATATTAACTGTGATGATAATTTGTGACCTTGTCTATCTGATGACCTTTTGACCTTTGGGGTCAGACAACTCTTTCCCGTTTTATATTTGTTTTATATGACTGTTTATGTCCAGATGTGGTATATAAATAAGCTCTAGGATGGATTGAATCATACTATACTGTAAGTTGACCTTACAGAAGCACATTAAAGGGATACCCCCACTTATTTTACCAACTTTCTTATTTCTTATCCGATTTTCATCAAACTTGGAATGTATGTGTATAATCAAATTCTAAATTTGATGGAATTATCGAATTTGCGCAGTACGCATGCGCATTACCAACTTTCTTATTTTTTATCCAATTTTCATCAAACTTGGTATGTATGTGTATATTCCAACTATAAATTCAATGGAAATAACCAATATTTGTTGTGCGCATGCGCATTACCAATTTTCTTATTTCTTATCCGAATTTAATCAAACTTGGTCTTTATTAATTGACAAACATTCTTTTATTCCTAGTCAATATACATTAACTCTAGGCACTTTTGGATATTTGAATTTAGAGATGCAGAAAAGTATTTACATCAATGTAATTGCAATAGACTATCTTCGTATGTACCCGAATGTCGTAACACGCTCTGCATCAGTACTGTTATTAGAACACTTCTGGTTTTTTCTTTTCGTCTACGGCAGGCCGGTTTTCTCGGCAACGGCAACAGGTACGGGGAAAACGGACTTTATGGCGTTTTGTAACTCGTGG